CCCATTTTCACTGTTGCAAAATGATAGCAACACTCCGCGAATTAAACTGAAGGCTTCCCAAGAAACTCAAATCGAAAGTAATACAGTTTATTTCGTGAAAGTTAAAACTGATGACATAAATAACGGTTATGTTTTAATAAATGGATCGGAAGATGAGTTGGGCTCATTATTGGAAGTAATACAGGGAGAAACAGTGATACCAGTCACTAACTACAGCGATCGAAAACTAATTTTGAAAGAGAATCAATGTATCGGTAGAGCGGAAAAGTAGCAGAATTAGTTGAACCAAGTTCAGATCAGAAAACTGAAAATTCAGTCAAAAGGAAATACTGATAATAAATGAAATTAAGAAGTTTAGGAGACCGATTACTTTAGAAGAAATTAAAGTTAATACTACGCCAGAAGGAAAACAGGAAGTTTTACATTTGGAGGAATTAGGGTGTACAAACTTAACAGAAATGGATATTAAAGAAATTGAAGGGAGTAAGCCTATTTGCATGAAGTCGTATAAAATCAATGCCGAAGAGCGTGCTTCTATAAAGAAGATAATAAATGAATGGAAGAAATATGGAATTGTTACTGAAACAAGATCTCCGTATGCTAGTCCAGTTTTACTCGTAAAGAAAAAAACAGGTGAATTACGATTAGTGATAGATTATAGAAAGTTGAATTCGCAAACTGTTAAAGATAAATTTCCACTTTCTAGGTAGATGATCTCCTTGAATGTCTTAGTGAGTGTAAAGTTTTCACTACATTGGACTTAGCTCATGGATATTTGCAGATTCCTTTAACTGAAGAAGCGAAACTGAAAACAGCTTTCATCACTCCAGATGATACTGGTCAATTTGAACGTATGATCTTTGGGTTAGCTAATGCACCTGCAGAAATTTCAGAGACTTATGAATCAAGTTTTAGGTCCATTGCTTAATAAAGAAGTATTGTGCTATTTGGACGACATATTAATTCCGGCTAAATCTTGGAAAGAAATGATGGAAAAACTTAGGAAAAGGGTTTGATAGATTGAGAGAAGCAATGCTGACATTGAAACTGACAAAATGCGAATTTGGAAAAGATGAAGTTGAGTATTTGGGATTTCTAATGAAATCAAATGGTATGCAACCTGGACTAAGAAAAGTACGAGCCATATTTAAACTTTCCTAAACCAACCAATGAAACATGAAGTTAAACAATTTTTAGGTCTTACAAGTTTCTTTAGAAGGTTTGTTTGTACCGAAATATATGCAGAGAAAGCTGAGCCGCTTAACGAGACTGACAAGGAAGAATGAAACATTTCGTTGGAATGAAGATCAGCAAGAAGCATTCAGTACTTTAAAAGGATCCATTTAACTAATGAACCAGTACTAGCATTATATAATCCCGAAGCAGAGACTGAAGTGCACACAGACGCGAGCAGCAAAGGACTGGCAGGAATGCTGTTGCAAAAAGGTGAAGATAGAAAGTGGCATTTAGTTTATTGTGTAAGTAAAGGGACAAACAGAAACAGAGAAAAGAATTATCATTCAAGCAAATTAGAATTAATGGCTATAGTTTGGACTTTGACACGACTTCGACAATTTTTAATTGGAATCTGATTTACGGTAATTACAGACTGCCAAGCTTTAGTTTATTTAAACGCGAAGAAAACTTCAAATCCTCAGATAGCAAGGTGGAGTAATCTGATCCAGGAATACAATCTTGAAATAAAGCACAGACAATGTAAAAAAATGAGTCACATAGATGCATTGAGCCGATCGCCAGTTGATCAGACAGAAGAAACTTTAGACTCTATAATTGAAAAACAACTTGGAAGTTTGTTTTAACGCTAACGAGAGACATGAAACAAATTCTTATGATTCAGCATTCAGATCCAGAATTATGCAAATTAATAGACATTTTAAAGAAAAAGATAAATGATAGAACGAATGCAGAGAAATATGTAACTGAAAATTACGTCTTGAAGAATAATCGATTGTTTCGTAAAGTGAAAGATCAGGAAAAGGAGAAATTGTTATATGTCATACCTAAATCGATGAGAAAAGGTATTGTAGTAAAATTTCACGATCTTTTGGGACATTTTTCAGCAGACAGAACTGTTGCCAAAATCAAGGAATCATACTGGTTTTAAGGAATGAAACAATATGTTATGCGTCACATTTCGATGTGTTTCGAATGCCTAGTAAATAAAATGCCTAGTGGTAAGAAACAAGGAGTACTGCATCCAGTTAGACCTGGTAGAAGACCTTTTGCAATTATACATATAGATCATTTAGGACCATTCGTAAAACGTTCAAGAGGAAATACAGAATTATTTGTAATAATTGATAATTTTACGAGATTTACACGCTTATATCCTATGAAAAGTACTGCAACCAAGTATGTGTTAGTTGCATTGAAGAGTTTTGTAGATGATTTTTTGGGTTACCAGAAAAAATTATCAGCGATAGAGGAACATGTTTCACAGCGAAGGAATTTCGAGAGGCGTACTGTCAAAATAATGGAATCAGTCATACACTCAATTCAACTTCAACATCCAAGTGGTAATGGAATGGTGGCGGAAAGAGCAAATCGAAACAATTTTGGCTACGATTAAAACGAGTATGGAAAATCCGAATCAGAGAGACTGGGACAAAAAGATTAAGGAATGCGAAAGAAATTTAAACAATATGATAAATAAGACTACAAATAAAAACTCCTTTCGAAATGCTTCACGGTTATTCACCAAAATTTAACTACGGATTGATGAGGATGATTACAGATGAAGACGCAGATGAATGGGAGAATCCAGTAATCTTACAGAATGAAGCTAGAAAGAGAATTGAAGATATGCAGATGAAAATGAAAGCAAATTATGACAAGAAGAAAAGCAATTCTTTAACATTCGAACGAGGAGAAATAGTAGTTATGAGAAGAGTACCTAAATCAACTGGAGAATCAACCAAAACACAACAAAAGTATCGAGGACCTTTGGTAGAAGTTTTACCAAATGATACCTATAGAGTGACTCAATTAGAAGAGAAGGTGACAGGACATTTCTTTAGTACGACAGCTCATGTGAGCCTATTAAATTCATGGCAGTGTCAAGCTGAATCAGAAGAAGACGATGATGGTGATGACATTAGTGTTACTGAGGATAATGATAACAACACGCCACATATTACTAAAACTAGGACACGGAAAAAGAATAGAAAACGACGGTGAATCTATATGACAGCTAAAGACTTTCGAACTATAAACATTAATATTACAGATTTAATTTTTTTAAATATAAGTTCTTAATGTTCCGAGGTCGTAACTAAGTCAGGATGCCCGAATGTAAACGCAACGTATTAATTTTTATTTAAAATGTATTTTCCCGATTGGCAACAACAGTTTTTTTCAGAACGATAATATTTTTGAACTGCAAGGTTTTGAGCAGTAATGTTGACGGTAATGTTTCTGAATAAAGCAAGTATTTAACAATTAATGTTTGACGGAATGTGTTTTTAATAAAGGAACTAATTAAATGCTAACAGCAGTATGTGCAGAACACCCCTGAAGTGGGTGTACATATGTAGGATACTCCTGAGATACTAGCCAAAATAGGATTTAGCTACGAGAAAGAGTAGAAAAATCTTACAAAGAATATTAGGCTTGCTGCTGATGTGATGTCTAATCATCTTGAAAAGCAGCATATGCTAGATATTGTCAAAATCTTTGGTTGTAACTAGTGGCTTTGAATGGCAATGCTAAAAATTTCAGTCATTTTCACGAGCTCGATGTTGGTACAGAGCCCATTTCAAAATCTAAATTATTCTTTAATAAGGATATATATCACTTCTATGCAATGCAACATTTGCTCATCAGAGAAGATATCAAAAGTTGCATGTCGCAATCAACCTTTTAAATACCACACTTCTTCTATGGTGGAATCTTCTGCGCACTCTTACAGTTATGCCTTTTGGTAGCTGTTATTTTATTTTCTTGCTATTCATCATAGACCTCCACTATATTAGAATGGGTGCATCTGATAATTATTAAGACTCCTATACTTTGGCACCCGCATCATGACCTTTCAAAAGGCCATTAAATGATTACTGCTTAATTATTTTTGCTTACACTATAAGACTGAAACACAACCTTGTATCTTGCTGGATTGGCTATCATTATTGTAATCGTATGATAAGTTTAACTTTGAAAATAATCTGTTAGATTTTTAAAGTGGTTTCAGTTCAATGAATATTGGAAATATATCATCAGGTAAAAGTTATAACAATTTTTTCTTTCATATAATAATTTGATAGACTTGATGAATGGAAATGAAATTTAACCTCAGGACCTCTAGGAACTTAATTTTGATCATTAGATAAGTGAATTTGCATTACATACAACTCTCTTCATCACTGAAATCTTTTTCTATGGGAGTGCCTTTGTATTTACTAACATGGTCTTTAACATATTGTGGTCTATTTTGAACTTTTCTTGAACACAGAATAATAGGAAGATACTGATTATTGCATTCAGCCTCTTTCATATATTTATTATAGGCATTAATTTTATATTTGTATTAGGAAAAACTAATTTTTGCTGTCTTTCTCATATACTATCAATCTTATTTTACTTGGTGGGAAAAGAGTAGCTGTGTTGGAAATACTAAATGTTTAGAAATCAAATGAATTTAAAAAAGAAAATTAGCTTGCGACAATTTGAATTGCCAATTGTAAATCTTGCTGAATTGCACATCAATTTTATTGTTGTTTATAACACTTTAATATAATGCTTAACTTCAGAAATAGAACATGTACTAATATATGTTTTTATTTATTTATTTTGTAACCTTAGTACAGTATCTACGTATTAAGATGTCATTATGTTGCTAGGCACTATTAATATTGGGCTGGAGGTTTAAATGTTAACCATGGTTTTCCAGTTGTTGTGCTGTATATGTCATATACATATCATAAACAGTGAAATGCTTGCAAGTCCCCCCTTGAAATAAAAATCTATTTAATTTGTCTTTCTAGAGGTTGAAAATTGCCAAGGAATTTGGGGATTTGGCAGCTGAAAGAAGAGCTCACAATAACTTAGGCAATGCACATATATTTTTGGGTAAATTTCAGGTTGCTGCTGAACATTATAAGTATGTTTGTGTTAATTTTTTTGGTGTTGTTTTTCTATTTATTGTATATTTTTAATTGTAATTCATGGAAACAATATGTGGTATTTGTGCTTTAGTCATGCCAAAAATTATTTCTTGATGCATATGAGTAAAGCATGTGATAAATTGCCAACTGATTTATCATTGTTGAAAAGTTTTTTTTTGGGGGGGGGAAGCAATATTTATTTTCAGTGTGTAATAGATTTAATTTGTGTAAATATTACTTATTGCTTTTGAATTTTAAAGGTTATTTATTACTTTTAAATAAATGTATTTGCATTTCTAAACTATGGTGTAACATTTTAAACCTTATAGAATATAGATATAAATAGTAAATGAATAGCAAGAAGGAAATATGATTTAAGACATATCCTTCTCTATCTTGAATTCTTTGATATGAAGAATATAAAAACATTGGTGAATTATATTTCTTGTCATATTTACAGAAATAGGCAAACCAATTTACTTTTTAAACTTTACTGATGATATTTATTATAAGCTACAAGTATAAACCAAAACAGCATGGCCATTTGAATGTATATTTGTCTCTTTTTGAGGTTTCAGGTTTGGTTACTGTTACTGCTATGCTTTATCCTTCTTTCATTGAATTGCATATTATTTTTTGTAATGAGTTGTTATGACATTCTGATATATAAGTTGGTCTAGCATACAAAGAATGGGGTTTAAAATATGCTCACGCTGAGTAAGATAAACTCGCCAAGTTTTTAAAAAAAATTTACATTATAGAAATTGCAAGTAAAAAAGAAAATTCTTCAGATGTTTCCTTTCATTTTTAATGTAATCCACACCCTTATAGGGACCTATCATCTGAACCAATTTTTCTCTGCATTTGTGCGTCAGTATTACCAGATGTTGTCTCTTGTCCACAGTGTTTATCATTCAACTTGTGTTAAAGGAGCTTATCCAGCTGAGTGAAAACTATACCCTGGCGTAGTAAACAGTGGTTGTTTGTCCTTGGCTCAGTTTTTGATTAAACAAGTTGGATGTCTGGCATTTTTTACTTTTTTATATTCATTAAATTGTATTCATTTTTATGGATAAAGTTTTTAAATATTAATGTTACCATAAACTGCTGTGGTCAAAAATCAGGTTTGGGAAGAAATATAATTTTTTGGCATTCTGATGTTAACAAACAATTTAAACTCAAAAGAGTTTAAGCTAAATTTTATTATTTCTAGAATATTTCCTTTTATTTCTTCATAATATAGAAACTTTATCTATAATTAAGCAGATATTTCCAAAGAATTAAAATTAGTAGCAACAATAGCTGAAAATTTTTATGAAATGAAAGTAGTATGGAAAAATGTAGTAAGAATTATGAATTTTTGATAGTCAATTAAAAACATTTATATAAATTAGTTTTAATTTTAGTAAAGGAAAATTGATATCTTTAGCAGGTAAATAATAACCCCTTCACATTTGTCATTTCATATCAAATGAATTAATTACTCTCACTTATTTACATTTGGCCATCATTTCTTGTGTTTTTTTCTTTCTTTAATTAAACTAAATTTTTAATTTGTAAAGTCTAATAAAATGTCAGAATCACAGCATTATTATAAGCAATTTGTGGTTAAATATTCATTGTTAGCTAAAGGGTGTATAAAAGAATTTTCTTGTGTATTGTAGTTTCCTTCCGATTCCCCCCCCCTTTTTTTGCGATTGATTATAAAACTTAATGTTATTATAATCAATTCTGGAATTGTGTGTACTTCATATTATTGCTTATGATTATCGCATATTCATTTCTGAAATAAATGAAAATAATTTTAATAGTAGGCAAAATTTATTTATTTATCTAATGTTGGTGGGAGAAGCGTTATAAATTTTAAGAGACAGTGAGCAGTCACATTTCTTCAGAAGCTAATTCTGACCGTAGTTATTTGCTACAAGAGAATGGTCATTTATGTGTTGTAAAATGTAAGGAGACACTTCTTTTTAAATCAAAACCAAATTAATATAGATTTTTACTGGTTAGTAATATTCAAGTTTTCATGCAACTCTTGTATCTGTTGTCATATAATATTTCAATTATCATTTGATTTGATATAGCATTTATTGTTTTTATTTCCTTGTACGATGTAAAAAAGAAGTATTCTAATTACGAAAAGTTACAGGCAGCATATTTCAATGGAAATATCCATTTTGACCGCTATCAGATGCATTTTAACGATGTTTTTGCGTGATATCTCTAGGTAAGGACAGAATAAGACTATTTTCCTCCAAAAAAATTATAAAAGTGCTTTAAAATGAAATCTGAAGAGAATTTTTTGTGGCGTCTGTATGAACGTACGTACGTATCTCGCATAACTCAAAAACGAGTAGCCTCAGAATGTTGAAATTTTGTATATATGACTGCTATAACATGGAGATGTGCACCTCGTATTTTTGTTGCAATCGGCCGCACCAAAAGTATATAAATATATGTATATACGTATCCACTCTCTTACTCGGCTTGGTGATCTCTTCTTTATTCTTAAATGTTTGTGAATTGTGCATTTTTTTGCTTTAAAAATGATTGAATTATGTTGTTCTTATCTTCTGTTTAAGGTTTTTATGCCTTTAGTAAATCTGTATGCAATATTTTTAGAATTATCAAAATTTTAAAAGTTGTTTCAGTGCTGCTAAGCCTAATAATTTTTTTGATGGCGGCCATTGCTTGTTTACATTTGAAAGAGCAGAATAGTGGATTTGTTGCCAATCTAGAGAAACTTAGCTTCGCAACAACAAAGATAACGCCTTCATTTATTATGCGAATTAAATCATGCTTAATCTGTTCTGGAATGTTTTCGAGGAAATAAGTGTTTAAGATTTACTTCGTAATTTTGAATATACAGATATTTTGAGTTTTTATGTATTTTTACTTTGTCGTGAAGTAAGAACTGAATTAATTGAATGAGAAATACTCAATCGTCTGTTAAATACTGTTTCTTTTTTGTTTTGTTTGCTTAATTTCTTTTATACATCGTTCGAGCTTTATTATAGTATTTGAATAGAACATGTGGCAATGATTAGATAATTCTTTAAAGGATATAAATTTTATGCATTCTGAATCATAATGTATGAATGTTAAGGACATTACTGATTACTTGAACGCAGACTTAAACTGTTTTCCTATCCAGTGACAAAATGCTCTTAATTCAGAATGCTTCTTCTTAAATAACTCCGAATTAATATCTAGCAGAGACTGAATGCGACTATTTGTAAAAGATTGCTTTACAACTTAAGATCTATGGAAACTTTTGCTTCCCCACGACCAGATTACTCCAAACCTTAGAGTTTTTTAATGCATTCTACGCCTCTGGGTGATAGATGTACCAATAGTACATCTTCTCTTTGATACAAATGTGAAAGGCCTAAGGCATACTTGATCTATTGGTGATAACTCACAGTAGTTGGTACCAAATGCGAGTGAAGGTAAAGGTTCAAATATAATACTGTTAATTAAACCTAACGCCAGAGTGTCACTATGGTAAAACAAATAGAGTGAATTTTAAAGAATGCATTTATTCTATTGTGGTTTATGTGCTTTCGGCGAAGTAGATTTAATTTCAATCCAATAAGTTTAAATGAAATGTGTATAATTTAATATTCCGTACAAGGAAGTCATGTGGTGTACACATCAGATTTTTTTAAAAATGTATTCATTGTATTAATGTTAGAATATAAAACTTGATAGCTTTAATAATAATGTATTAAATAATATGCAATATTAAAATCTTTTGAAGTTATTTACTGGTCAACAAAATCATATGCTTTTTGTTAATTACTTAAAAAGAAATGTGTGCTTAGATTATTTTTGTCAACTCTGTGGACTTTCTTTTTTTAAGGAAAACATTATCCTTAGCTATTGAATTGCGTGACAAAGCTGTGGAAGCGCAAGCTTACTACAGTTTAGGCAATACTTATACGTTACTTCATGATTATCCTACTGCCATTGATTACCATTTACGCCATTTAAGAATTGCTCAGGATCTTCAAGATCGAATTGGAGAAGGTAGAGCTTATTGGAGTTTGGGAAATGCACATTCTGCCATTGGAAATCACGAGCAAGCATTGCATTATGCTAATAGGCATCTTGAAATATCTAAACAGGTGAGATGTTGTTGTATACTTATTTTGTTATTTGCAGAAATTCTCATATTTGTATCTGTATTTAACCAGCAATGCTGGTTTGATTGATTTCTAGCCATTAAGAGAAAAAACAGTTATTAGCTAGCTGGCATTAAGTAATTTGTCTTTTCTTCATTGAGTATTTTGAGAAATGTTTTTGAATACTTTACTGTGAATCGTATTTTTGCCTTGATATGGCCATGTTATATATTTGAACATTAAACATAACATACTTTTGTTATTCTGGGTTAATCTATCTTATTCTCGTTTTATTTTATTAATCTTATTCCTATTCTAGAAAGAATGATCAACAGCCAATGTAAACATTAATGTTAATATATAACATTTATATAATATAGAATTGTTAATTGAGAATAATTGAAGACTGTTTTTTAGCTTAATTTAGCATTAGATAAAGATTGCTATCATTTTTAAAACAATCTTTTGTACTTTCAGTTACAGCTAATAGTAATATTTAGTTACAGTTAATAGTTAATTTTTAATTGTTTAAATCCCCTCGGGTACAATTTTTTTTTAACCTTGTGTTTGTTTCTTAATTTTTCTGAGCTTAGCTTTTTGACAAAAGTTAGAACCTATTAATTTCATATTTAGATTATTATGTGTCATTTTATGTAGGTATAGCTAAATGTCTTTAAATAAAAGTTTTGGTTTACGTTCATGCTTAGAATTCACTTTGCTGTCTTTTTTCTGACTTAAGATCAGGATTATTCATAATTATTAGACCTCTTATTTTTAGTTTCCAGTAACTATCTATTGGAAATACCAAAGATAATTTTAATTAAGTAACATTTAAAGTCATTAAAATCAAAGGCATGATGTATGAATTTTATCTGGGCATAAAATAAATGTATCATGGTCCTTCAAAAGTTCTAATTTTTATTTTTGCAGAACACTTTTAGCATATTAAACTCCTAGAAATTTCAAAATGACATAATTCACAGTTTGATCTGATGGTATACTTTAATTCAAATTTCAAGGTAACAGTAAGATAAAATAAACAATATTTTAAGTTTTAGGACAAAGATAATACATAGTTCAAATATTTTTTTCCCTCTGTACTTAAATCTTTCAACATAATTTATTACAATATTTGTTTAATTCTGAGAAACAATGAGATGTTTTCAGGAGAATAAAAGGCTTATTCTAAGCAAGTAAATGATACAAAATGCTCAAATACTACTTCACAATCAATTTTGATTTCTTAGTAACAGTAACATATGTTTGAATTAATAATTTGATAAAGTATGCAATCCTAAGATTTCCCTCATTTTTAATGACATTTGTATTTAAAAAAAAGGTGTATCTTAGAATAAAATATATGTAATATGCGTGTGTGTAGTTTATGTTATTTATGTCACTAGTTTAATGAAATATTGGAATATCATGTATATAAAGTATCATCATTGTGAAAATTAAAAACATGCAATATATTTAATGATTTGGATAATGAGTATGCTTTAGCCTTAATTTTTTTAAAGATGTAAGTATAAAACAGACCTTATTGTTTATGAAGAATAATAATGATTTCTTGATGCCATACATTAAAGATATTTTATTCTATACATATCATGTAGATAATTTACAAAATTAAGTTTGATAATTTAATGTTTTATTCTTCTTTAATGTCATCATAATATTAGAACTTGAAAGGTTTTTAATAAAAAAAAATCTTTCTACTCTGAAAGTATATAGATTTATGTCTCTATATCTTAAATGTTAAACAAGATGTTTTACGTGCATATTATGATAAAGAAGTGTTTGGATTGATTCAATAAAACACAAGATTTTCAATTTATAAGTCAGTAATTATTAAGTTTCAAAATTCTGCAATTTATTTATGCTAGAGATTTTATCTAGTTCTCCAAACATGTGAAACCAAAAATTTTAATAAGAAATGTTTTTTTTTTTCCCCTTCAAGATTGGTGATGAGTCAGGAGAAGTTACAGCCCAACACAGTATATTAGATTTACAGAAAGCTCTAGAATCTCAGGATGCTGCATCGTGCAGTCAAAGCAGTACTTCAATTAGTAAGTATCTGTCCTGAATTTTTTTTCTCTAGAAAGAGAGAAGTGCATACACATTGAAAAGGCAGTGTAGTTAATCAAAATATGTGAAAATAATATGAAACCTCAAAAAATTGTTTGGATTTTCTCTCATTTGGAATTAGAAGCTGGAAAAATAGTCCTTCAGGTGTGTAAGATAAAAACGTTTCAGTAATTTCAAAAACCATTATTCATACCTTCAACTTTAGTATATGGAGTCATTAAAGTAATAATTTTTCTTTGTGTATTGTAAAGAGTTCACACACTGTGATTCTTGCTCACTAACATACTGTTTCATCCATCTTTGAATACTAGACCATATTTTAGCATTTTCCTAGCCTAAATAGATGTATTCAAAATAATATTCTTAATTGTTATCAGTATTCAGATCATTCTTTATAATTTTAGTAGTGGTTTAACCCTTTCCAGACATCCGTACCCTATACACACTCCCGAGGAATGTCTCTCACAGCTGGACGTCCCACCCACGCATCACTGGAGAATACACGTACGGGATGGCTGATGCATGTATGCATTTTAGGCTGAAACATTTTTCAAAGACCTCTAGATGGTGTGTGTCCATTACTTTTTAACTTAATAAAGTTTTAGGATCCCTATCTTCAACTGATCACTTTTTAAGCAATATTGGTGTCAGCTGTTGTGGGAGAAGGAAGAGAAGCGATATGTAAACAAACAGAACTCGTAACTGACCAGGAGATACAAACATTTGCGTTTCTAATATAACTTTCACTTTCAATCTTTTTTTTTTAATGCTACTACCTAGGGCCTTTTAGGGTTACTATGTGGGATTCTGTTATGCTTTGCATTGCTTTTATTGCCACCCAAACTGTATAGTGGTTAGGAGAACCTACTGCCAAACCGAAGGGTCTGGATTCTAATCCTAGAGAAGGCATGAATGTTTCTAAATGTATTATGTCTTTGCAGCATGGGGACATTCTGAATATATGGCGAGTCCTCACATGTGGTTTGGTGGTAGGGGAGATCAGTGCGAGACCCTCATACTATCCCTCGGGATGCTTTCTCTCAAAATTGGGCTGAAAAGTACAAGTCCACCTCCTTGAAACTCTAGCAACCATTCTTCCATGAAATACATGGATAAGATAACAACAACATTTCTTTTAACATTTATTTTTTGCATACTTCCCTTTTTATTTCAGAAAGCCTTGACTTTAATTTATTATGGTGAGCAATCATTATTTATCAAAGGAAAGATACACTCACTTGGTAAGTGAGTCAACTAGTGATGTGGATGAGAGTGATGAATCATTTTCTAAAGAGTTAGCAATATTTCGAGTGATTCTCGTCCTGACATTTTGTCAGAGACTTAACTCATTGAGTGTCTGCCTTCCGCTTCCCATGAACGATATTGTTACTTCTCGTAAATAGTCTTTCTTGAATTTTTTTATTAATTTAAAGTTTATTAATGTATTGTATCAATTAAAATTCTGGAATAATTTGAATAACACTTCTGAAAGTTATTTCTCAAAATAAACAATTTTTTATATTTTTTCATCTAAAGTTAAAGGAAAAAGATTATTAAATGTTGATTTTAACATATATTATAGCTTAAGTAATAATTTAAAATGGTATCAAAAATTAATGATGTTAGGACATAAACTTTTTTTATTCTCACCCTTTAAAGTTAGGCTTCTGTTTTTGATGCCTGAGCTCAGTAGCAGTTTCTAAAGATGTAATTTCTTATTGTTAAAAACATTTGAAATTAGTAATATGCTTTAAAAAAAAATCTGATGCGGACACTAAAACTTTCTTGTAATGCTTCACTTCATTGAAACTTATTTCCTCAAATTATTCTAACTTAATTAACCAATTCCTCAAGACAAGTTGAAAAACACATTAACAAAATTTTGAAATTAAATATCACGATCAAGTTTTTGTCGTATGGGAGTCAAACTTTTATAATTTTACTTCTTCATAATGAATGTAGAACTTTCCAAATTACAAGAATAAGAACCAGGAGACCGCATTAAAAGTTATATTTCATTATTTGCTAAAAATGATTTTTTTTTTTTTTTAATTTCACATTGCCAAAACATGAATATTTTTGTCATTTAAATACTTCTGTAATTGGAAATGTATGACTACAACTGGTGATCGCAAAAATAAAGTCCAGGTAAGAAGTAAGCTGGGTAAAGGTGTGTGTGTGTAAATATACATATGTGTTTGGTACTGCCAATTGCAAAAGAAAAGGGAAGTGCACAGCTATATGTTATAACAGTCCCGTGTACTAAATTTCAGTGTGCTACTCCTACTTGTTTTCGAGTTATGCAATATATGCACATATCTACTTCAAAAGAGTCAAAAAGAGATCTTCGCTCTTTCCACATGTAGAGACACTGAGGGGAGGGAAATCCAAATGAATACGAGAATGGGCAAAATGGATATTTCCATTAAAATCTGATACTTGTAATTTTTCGATACTTCTGATACTTGATTTCACGGTACTTCTGATACTTGAAATTTTTCACTGTATTTTTTTACAGTACTTCCTTTAACTTTGTATAAAGAAGTAAAAAGCAGTTTACAAAAGATGTTGAGTACACATTTGGTACAGTCAAAAGTTATTAATTCGGACACCCATAATGCGGACCTCAAAGCTAAAAACTTTCTGCGCATGCGCCACGTTGACACATGCGCGTAGGCATTTACGCGTGCTCGTAAGACCTTTATGACTGCGCATATGCGTGCACGCAAGCGCAGAATACGTTTTCGCGTGCGCGTTTTATGTATAACAGACGGTATAAGCTAAATTTATCTAATTATCTATTTCAGTTAATGTTGATGATTGCGTTGTTCCTTAATCTTTGATTGGATCCGGCTTATTGCTTTTTGCAGACTGTAAGAGCAATTTTATAAAAGTAAACTTGAACTTTCGATTATGTCAAATAAAATTTCCGATTCTGGAGCTGCCAAAGGATCTACAAAACGAAAGTATGTTTCGATGTCCATGAAACAAAAAGTGGAATTGCTGCAAAAAATGGATAAGGACATGAAGAAGGTGACAGAGAGGTTAGTGAAAACGAAAAAATTTCGATTGACAAGTTAGTCGTTATTCTCGGCACAGCAATTACGGGACCTTGAACAGCGGAACTTTGTAACTGAACAAGAAATTATGTCTGTTTATAGAATTAAAGAGAAAGTATTATCACATAAAACGAAGCAACTTAAACAACTGACATTGAAAGAAATGTTTAATAAAGTTAACAAATAAATATTAAGCTTTTTTTTTTTTGTAAATTTTGATACCCTTTAGATCATAATTGTTCTTTATTTCATAAATTACGGTTTCATATTTTTAATTTTAGAATTTCTGCATGCCATCTTACGAGATTTAAACTGATGATCTATAATCCGGAAAAATCAATAATCCGGATTCGCCAAAGTCTCGACGAGTCCGGATTAACGACTTTTGACTGTATTTTGAATTTTTTTTTTTTTTTTTTAAATTTACCATTTAAGTATACTTTATATCTAGTTTTATTTTTCCGTGCCCTGTTCTATTTTCTGTTGCATTTTAGAAGTTATCTCGTTTAAAAATATATATAACTGACAGTAAGAAGTTGATTTTGTGTGCTGTTGGTTCTTTTTTATATTTAAGATTTTAATATATTTTTCCAGATTCCAGTGGAAGAATGCGTCGTACAAGTATGGAGCAAATGGATCTTTTGAAACTCACTCCAGATGCTAAAGTGGCAAAGGTTTATTATGTTTACCTTTTTCTAACAATAGTTATCCCAAGATGTTAACTGTCATAGGGTGTTAAAAAATAAATAAATATGAAAAATATTTTTTAAATTTAAATTTGATTTTTTTTATTTGAATCGGATTTTCCCTTTTTCATCAAGTGAATATAATCAGCATAATTTTTCTTATTAACTTTAATTCATAAGAAAATTTTAATTGCTGTGATCTAGTGCACAGGTTTCTAGAGCCTTTTATTATAAAATCAAATGAGCCAAGAAATATAAAATTTAGTACAGTTCAACTCTATGTAGTGAATTTAAGTCAATTTGGAATTCTTTTGAAAATAGCTTTGGTGCTCAGCAAGAAATTCTCCCATTTTTTCCTATTTCAAATTTGGCAGTTATGCATTATAAGTAGTTCAGTAACCTGAATCATGCATTGAAAGCAAATTGAAGTCAGTTTGGCTTTCTTTGAAATTGCATACCTTGCAGCACGAATGCCTTCTGCTTTCTCCTTGTTTTTGCACAAAAAAAAAATCTCCTGGTTTTTCTAAATTTAAGCATAATGTAATGTTTAATGTAGCTATGCACATTTTGGCAAAACAACAGCAATAAAAGAAAGAAAAATCTGCTCTTTTAGCTGCAGTTTTTATGTAATTACAAATAAGCAAGGTGGTAATTTAAAAAAGAAAAAATTCACTTCCATAACATTCTTACTAACATTTGATTTGTTTATATCATTACCTAGTAAATTAATTATATGGGCCTAACAACAGTAAATTAAAAGCTGAAAATTGTTTTCTCATTTTTGTTATATTTGCTGCATTATGGAGTTATAAAACTATTACATTTACATTTAAATTCACTTTTAAAATTTTAATGGCAGTAAAAGGAAGAAAATTTTACTTTATTAAGTTAACTCTCTCTGACCGGCAAGGTCGTATGCATATATGTGGCCTAGAATATTTTTTTATACCTTTAAGAAAGTATGTATATATATAGTGGTGGCCAAAATTGTGGACACTTTTGGAAATTTGTATGTTTTTGAACTTTGTATGCTTATAGAAAATGTTACGTTTCACAAAATGCAAACTTGTATATATCATTTTAAAGAGAATTTATTACTGAATTCAATACAAACACAAAATTCATTATTTGCAATACAAGAAAAGTTATATTTACTTTAATATAAATAAAAAACACAGTTTATGAAGTGGTTTGTAAAGTCTAGCTTTCCTTGCATCACTGTTCTTGTTCTGAGAACAATCAAATGTTAGTAACGGCCAGTAGAAGCTGACATCTTGTTTACGTTGAAACATTCATTATTTTGCTTTGTTCTGTAGATGGAGGACTGTTTCTTATACACTGCAATTACAAGTAGGAATTTTTGTAAAAATTTTAATATTAGTCAAGAAAAATACATCAAATTAAAGAGTAGATTGGACACCTAGAAAGAGATGTAATATTGTGTTCGAGAAAGTGGTCTTTCCTATGCTGGAATTGAAGACATGGGTGGTTCATTGACTACATCTGGAGTCCGAAAATTTTGTTTACGATATCAGGAGACAACTCAATAAAAAACAAAGAAAGAAAAGGCTGAAAAAGGTGCACCACATCCATTGATGACAGAAGAATAAAAAGACTATGTTTCCAGATAGAAAAATGTCATCATCACGGCCATCAGAAGTGGTCTGAATGCTGTGTGTTTTCTGTCAGTTCAAGAACAATCAGGAGAGATTAACAGATGTTGGACTGAAGGTAGATTCCACGAAAAAAGCCTTATCTTAATTTTCAGCAACGAAAAAAAGACTACAGTGGGCAAAGTAAACATTAATTGGGCAATGATCAGTGGTCACAAGTTATATGGAGTGATGAACTAAGATATCGTTATTCGGTAGTGATGGGCGAAAATATGTAAGACGTAGAATAGATAAGAGCTACATCCTGACTGCATTCAAGCAACTGTGAAGAACCCAGTTAGTGTTATGATTTGGCCATGCATGTCAGCAGAGGTATTGGTCACCTTCATGTCATCGATGGGACACTGAATGCCAGAAATACATTGACAACTATTCTAGAACCAAAACTTCTACCTTCCATCAGAGATCTCTTTCCCAACAATGCTTCGTTTATTTTTCAGCAGGATTCGTTCCTTGCACACGTCCAAATATCGAAAGAGTGATTTCATACAAAGAGCATTAAATTGTTGTCATGGTCAGGAAACAGTCCTTCCTTACCTCAATCCTATCGAAAATTTGTGGCACCGTTTGAAAACTCTTGTCCGATGAGGTGCCATCAAATAAAGGGAACTAATTGAGGCTTATTGTTTCCTGGCATTATGTAATAAGAAAAAAAGAGCTTAAAAAACTCTTGTCAGCTCAATGAAACATCGATGTGAAGCTGTAATAAAAAAAGGGTACCCTACTAAGTATTGTTAACTCACTGCAATCATCAATCTAATGTATATCGATAACTATTATCGTTTAACTTTTTTTGTATTGCAAATAATTGAATTTTTGTTTTGTATTGAATTCAGTAATAAATTCTCTTTAAAATGATATATACAAGTTTGCATTTTGTGAAACGTAACGTTTTCTATAAGCATGCAAAGTTCAAAAAATTTCCAAAAGTGTCCACAATTTTGGCCATCACTGTAATACATGCATCTTGAAATCTGTCAAAAAAATTAAGGCAGTATATTAAAAGCACATAAATCCAGGTATGAAGTAGCGACATTTCGGCATTAAAATCGAGAAAATACACCTTTTTTCATAGCTTTTTGGGGAAATTGGATTTCCTTAACGCAGTTCCACTAATGTTCAGTTTCATCTATTTTACAGATATATATGCTGATTATTGGTTGAATATAGTTATCAGAGCAACCACCTTATATACTGTTTGATTTTCTAAAATGTTACTGCATTTCTTTGTTCTTCATATATAATTTTATTATTTTAGTCTATCGTTTATAATATAATTTTATTATTTTAGTCTATCGTTTATAATATAATTTATCATTGAAGTCATTTTCAGGTGGAAACTTATACCCATCACCTCTATTAATTTTATGAAATGAGAGTTCTGTACACTACAAAAGGATGCATTTGTAGCAAATAAATTTTACAATATTGAAGGGTCTAGTTTAGGTTTTTGAGAAAATAATGTTTTTACAACGTATTTACATAGATGATGCACTATGTACTTTGAATTAGTGCACTCGTCAAATAACAGTTCAGATTATATTTATGCTTGAGGCTAGACAGACCTTGAAAGTGACTCAGGTTCTTTTATTGCAATGACATGGCTTGTTTAAAATATTTTAAACAATTTTATGATTAAAAAACTGTATTTTTTCTATTTAGTAATTAAAAACTTTTAAATTAAGATGAAATTAACTGTGTGTATGTAACTGTATGTGTGTATGAATCATTCTGAAAGGTTTTCATGAAAATTAATTTCATAGGCTTCATCTGGGGAAGATGAAAAGGCTAAATTTACTTCTGTAACAGAAAAGGTGACACCAAAAGTTATAGATGAACCTGAAAGAAAGACTGTAAGCCAATCTGGGACTGCAGCAGCTGTAAAAGAAAATAAAGTCACTATAATGAAAGAAAATGATGTAATTATCAAATTGATTCTGAATTTTAATTCAGTGGTTTCTGCTTGATTTTTCGATTTATTATACCATTTGTAAATACTTCTTAATTGCTTATGAGTAATGATCATATATATTCTCATGCTATTAAAATATATCTTTTCTTTTGCATTAATTTTTATTTAAATTGTTGCATACTGATAGTTTTTTAGTTCTTTCAATTTTACTATATTTATAAACTGATGTTGATGAGTAAATTAATTTTTTTTAATATTGAAATTTGCAGGAATTGGAAGGCTCAATGGATGAAGATTCCTTTTTCGATTTACTTAGCCGATTTCAAAGCAAAAGAATGGATGATCAGAGATGCTCTCTTGTACTTTCAGAAAATAAGGAAAATAATCAGCTACTTGGAAATTGCCAAGACAATTTCCAAGCTTCTACGAGTTACAGTAATAATGTTGTTAATGTCGACAAAGGTGTGAAAAACTTTCATTGTAATAATTTATTTTTTAAATCATAAATGTATGTATAATGCATATGAAAGATGTTCGAATTGTGACTATTAACTTTTATTTCTTAAGATACTGATCCTAGATACAGATGCTTCACACATTATGAATGAAGTTACATTCCAAATAATTGCTCATACCATAAATTTGTTGATAAAATGTTGCTAGGATTACTAGTGATGTTTGTGAAATAAGAGCTATAAATACTGTCAAATAAACAAAAATGCAAAACAAATGATGCATTTTAAAATTTAAATATAGATGTATATAGATGTAAATAAAAAGTTCTAGATAAATAACTATTTTACTGTATAGTACATATTTTCGATTTTCATCTTTGTCGCATGTATGGATGGAAAGTAAGGGACATTTGTGATGAGGATGTGGAAGGAGTTGTTGGATGTGTGTGAAATATCATTTTCTGAAGAAACTTAGTGTCTCAACTTGTTAGAACAGTTTGTTTTCTTTTAGTTGTATAAAAGATAATATTGCAGAATGGCAGACATCATGCATCAACATTTACTGTAGAAAACCTTTCAGAATTTAGGTTTTGGTTTTCGAAAAAAGTTGAGCCTTCTTCAGAGTTGGAAAACACTACTGCCATTGACTCTGTATGAAACTTTTTTAATTGGGCCAGGCTTTTCTTCCTCCTCCTCCTCTCTCTGTTGCTCTTCAAGATGCATCAGGTTTTGATTGCATTGGCATTACACCTTTTGATATGTTCAAGTATATGTTCCCCCCCCTGAGAATTATTCTAATTGTCAAATGATTTATACTATTTGAATGCACAATATTCTCAATTTTTATTAAAGTGATTTTTGTTTCAAATGAAATGGATTGTCACTTATTTATAGTCATTTGATTTTCTCTTTTTGTCAATCATCTTTAATATAATTTCTTTTTTTAACTCCAAACAAATTTCACTCTTTAAGAGCAAATTCGATTATATCTGCTCTCAAGTTCATAAAATGGTGATCATCTGTATACACTCGCAGCTACATAGTTTCGCTTCCTAATTTCTTTCTTTACTTTTGTCCAACTAGCATTCCTGTGGTGTTGGAAACTGCATTATTGCTTGCTCACTGACTGTGGACGGATTCTAAATCATGCTGGGTTTTTATCAATAGCCCAAATATGCAAGGGTAATAAGTGAGTGCTGGCCTGCTCTTTGGGTTGTGACACCATGATATTACCTATCCACTAATCCATGTGATGTGACACAAATAAATCATTTGATCACACATTGTATGTCTTCTAACTCACCAAGTTCATGTGATAAAGACCACTAGGAATTTGACCTGCCTTTGATCTCAGGCAAATGTACTGGCTGCATTGTTGGTTATAATGGTTTTCATCATGTGCAATATGAATATGAGCCAGTTTCTGTTAAAAAATTCTCCATAAAAGCATGCCTTCCCTTAGGCGGTTGCTGTCGAGAGCTTTACCTTATTCAGTAACTTAATACAGTACAAAGTCTTTAATCCTGACGTCCATAATCCACAATGATCTATAATCCGGGCCTCAAAGCTACAAACTTTCTGTGCATGCGTAGTATTTATGCATACGCATAATACGTTTAACGGATGCACATTTATAACGGACGGTATAAGCTAGACTAAAATTATTTCAGTTAATGTTGCAGATTTCGTTGTTCCTTAATCTTCTAATTGGATCCGGCTTATTATTTTTTGCAGACTGTTAGAGCAATTTTATAAAAAGTAAGCTTGAACCTTCGGTTATAGCAAAAAGAGTTTCTGATTCTGGATCTGCCAAAGGATATACAAAGCGAAAGTATGTTTCGATGTCCATCAACCAAAAAGTGGAATTGCTGCAAAAAATGGATAAAGGCATGAAGAAAGTGACAGAGAGGTTAGTGAAAATGAAAAAATTTCGATTGACAAATAAGTAAGTATTCTCGGCACAGCAATTACAGGACTTGAACAGCGGAACTTTGTAACTGAACAAGAAATTATGTCTGTTTATAGAATTAAAGAGAAAGTATTAGCACAAGAAACGAAGCAACTTAAACAACTTGCTTTGAAAGAAATGTTTAATAAAGTAAACAAATAAATATTAAGCTTTTTTTTTTTTGTTTTTGTAAATTTTAATACCCTTTAGATCATAATTGCTCTTTATTTTCTAAATTACGGATTCATATATATATATATTTTTTATAATTTCTGCATGCCATATTACCAGATTTAAATTGATGATCTATAATCCGGAAAAACCCCTAATCTGGAATCCCTGAAGTCCCGACGAGTCCGGATTAAAGACTTTGTACTGTATGTATGTCATGTATCAGTGTTTAAGTAATAAATGTGAACGCATTCCCCCTTATGTGTATATATGTGTGTTTTATTTCCTTCATTTATCCTTTGACTGTCATGAACGAGCATAACTAGCTCTCTTTCATGTATGTGGTGTTATATATTTAAATGAACTAAGTTTATCCTAACCATTTACGCTTAAAGTGACAAATGCATTCTACTCACAAAGTAGATTTTCGTCTAGGTGCATGACTCATTCGTGAAAGTAACCCAGTATTCTTGAATAATAGTTGAGAGTTAACCTCCGCAGACAAATTAAATTTAGTGAATATAAATGTTACTACATGTATTGCATGATTTTCTACATAAATTAGAAGAATATTGTTTTACATCCAGTTCATCTCATTAATTTGTCAAAGATTTTATTGCTAAAATGATAGCACAAAGAGGAAAATTTGATAAATTGTGTTAACTAATAACTAGTATTTAGGAAAGATTATAGTGATTATGAGATACTTAAGTTTTGAAAAAATTAAAAATCTGATGTTAAAAAAAAAAAAACCTAGACAGATTATTTCAGTAGTAATTCGCAACTTACAAAATTATTAACCATTCTGTAGCTCTAATTCAATTTTACAGGTGTTGCTAGTATGAAAGAATGAGTATTTTCATTAGAAATCAAGTACATAACTCTCCTTTAAAAAAAATTGACTTTTAGCTTTTATAACATTGTCAAAAATGAGTGTCATTTATTAAGACAAGTTGGAAAAAATAAGTTGCATTCCTAGTTATTTCCGCTGTAGGATACTGTGCATGGTAAAAAAGTAATGTCTAAATGATGTGGTAGCCACCAAATGGTTAGATCTAATATTTATTTCTGTGACTAACTGTTTAAAACTGGTAGCATATTTTACTGTAAACATATAAACCACTGAAATCACTTTCACTTTGTGTTTCTTGAGTTAAGAAAAGTTTCTTTCTAATTTTTAGTTGCTCATAACCATTTATTAAAATTCATTTTGTAGTTTGAGTCTGAATTTTGACAAAAGTATATGAAGGGTCCACATTTACACCATTTCAGTAACAATGCCAAAATAATGAATGAAAACTAATTCTTTCTTATATAATAGAAAATTATTTGGTAATGGCATACGCATTAAAAAAATTCATTTTGTTTCCATTTGTAAGTTGGTTTTCATTCGTAAATTGAAGAACACTGACTAGATAAAAACTGACTAGTTATGCACAGTAGATAAAAATCTACTATGTGCGTAAAATTAGCTTGTGTTTCCAGGAGGCACAAATTATTCAGGTAAAGCTGAACTAGTTTGTGTGCTTTGTAATACTGCATACTTCAGCTGTCAGTTAGGCTCATTTATTACCATTAAAGGATTAAAACATCTTTGTAACTTTTATTTTAAAGTTATTTGTAACTTATAAATGATGATTACTATGCTTCTTTAATTGACTGACTGTCTAATATAGTAGTTCTCATCCTTTCCCATTAATTATTGTTAAAAGATCACCCCCTTTTCCCACGCTCAAAAAACACATATAAGCATTAATTTAGATTTAAATTATTTGTAATGTATTTCATAAATTAAACAATGAAAAGTGTAAAAAGCATTAACAAAAGCCAAAGCTTGAATAAAAGTAGTATTTTTATATTCAGGAACTAAAACAAAATATTTAACAGCTAAGTAAAAGCTGTTGACATCCCCCCCCCAGAAACTAAGAAATTTTTACTGATTAAGAATCGGCAAGGTTAATCAGCCAGTTTCTCTCTCTTATTTTGTTTATTTATTTTTTAAAACTCAAAAGGGCTGTTAATCTCGAAACAGTTTTTCGTTGCTTCATTTTACATGTTGTTCACTGGAAGTTAATTGTTTTGCTTTTCATTCAAATCTGTTGCCATTTAGCAAAATATGAGATCTTTCAAATATAATGTGTCTTTCATCATTTAGCAAACTAAGCTATTTAAGAGCAATAGTTTTAGCTCTTAAGAATATTATTTTTTGACTTTTTAATCTAATTTAAATAAAAATGCATTTAATTCATGAAGTATCTAATTATAAATATTAAATATTTTTATAGAGTTACATATATATTTTTTCACTTTTCAAATAGACAGAAGATATATACCATCTCCATTTTTAGTGTAAATGCATGTTCATCGAGTATCATATAAACTATTTTGCTATTTCACCTGATTCAAGTGTGAAAGAGCCAATTTTAGCAAAAGCAACTGTTAAAATTGTTAAAATTCCTTTTAGATTTTTTTAAACCATAAAGCATGTTTTATTACTTTTATAATCTTCATTTCTTCTTTTAATTGACATGATGACAGTATTTCTTATCCTTTAACTGCCAGCTCTCCCAGTTTTACCAGGAGATATTTGATTTTTTTTAACACATCATCCAGTTTTTAATTTTTAGCTTTTACTAAATAAAGTATACTTCTTCTTTTGCAGAATATAATTCCAGTGTATCCTTTGTTACTGTTACTTTATGCAATCAAGTGTGTGGTTGATTGTGGATGTTTTCAGAGCATCTTCTTATATCTAAACATTTGAGTAAACTATTAAAAACAAAAATTTTGATAACTATTTATTTCCCAAGGTGTTTAATTAGAAATAAAATCTAAATAGAAGTCTAGTTACTTGGCATTTTGTTATGCAGTACATATTTCCAAAAAATTTATTTGAAATTGTGTTTCTTTTAAAGTCTAGATGTTAAAACATATTCATATTGCCCCCCCCACACACACACACAACACACTTGTGCATAAAATTTGCAACACTAGTATATATTATAACGGGTCCCAAATGGGTTTAGATCTTCACTTAAGCAAAACTTAAAAAAAAAAAAAAAAAAACTCTATGAACTTAATTGAAAAACGATTGTGTACAGGTCCTTTTTACATAAGATAACTGGGCTGTCTGTGTTATTTAAAGGCAATTTCTTTTTGTAAAATTTACGAGAAACTGCTCTAAAGCAAAAATTTAAATGTAGGGTAAGATCTGAACTTATTAGGGACTCGTTTTAATATATATTAGTGTTACGAATTTTGTTCAAAATGGTTTTAAGTCTCAAATAGTCCAGAGGGACAAAACATGTATTCGAAACTCATTTTAATGAATCAAATTTAAAGCTTAAAATATTTTTAATTAAAAATTTTAAGTTGAAACACTCCCCTTGACAAGTTCTCTTTGAAACATTAAATAAGAAATATTTTGTAGGTGTCGACTGTAACTTTCTCTATTCTTTGATGAATTTCCTTATTAATTTTAGTACATCTTTAAGTGAATATGATTCATGATTATCCATACAATAAGGTTTATAATATTACTTCACCATGTCATTCCTTAGATATGGTAATAAGGATTACCTATGCTTATATATATGTACGCATGTGTGTGTTTGTGTTTATGATTACAATATTATATTTTACATTATCTGTTTACTATGATGGTTAAGTAGATAATACTGAGTAATGAAAAGGCATGCTATTTAAATATATATCTTTCAAATAAAATTTTCATAATGTGGTATTTGTTTTAACAGAGAATAATCGTGTAAGAGATGATTTGTTTGACTTAATTGCTGGTATGCAGAGTCGTAGACTGGATGAACAAAGAGCAAGCTTACCACGACTGCCTGGCTTGAATTATTGTGCGAATGAAATCTACATGGAAAGAGTTCCACGTAGACATTATACCAATAATAATACAATACCTCCAGGCCAATCACTTCATCGTACTGTTGGAGATGCAGGTGATCTAACTGATGATGAGTTCTTTGAGTTGCTGATGAGAAGTCAAGTATGTATCGCTAGTTTTTAGCTAATAGAATGTTTTATTCTTTAATATAAATATTTAAACAGAATTAAAATTTTTCTTCAGAGTAATAATATTTTCTTACCAGTCATGTTACTTAATTTATCAGTTTCATTTTTATTGAAGTCTTATTAAATTTTTGTCATTGGATAACATTTATTTTGAAAATTGTGTAATTATGATTTTGACAATATTATTGGAATCTTCTGCATAATTTCTTTATGTATCAATCTTGGAATTGTAGAGTCATGCTTGATGAATACTAATTGCTTATCTTTGTCAAAATAATCATCTTCATAAAAAAAAGTATAACAGATTTTTTAAAATTATTATTATTATTATTATTTTAATAAATGGGTGGTAACACTAGTATTGTAAAATTGTAGTCCTATAGCTTTAATGCTTTAACATATTCATTGCATAAAAATATGATATATATGAAACAACTGTTATTGCCATAATCACTTTCTCATAACTAAGGTGATTAGATTTGGCAGGTGAAGATAGGAAATGTAAAGGATGCTGTTAAATTGAATATCAAAATATTTATTCGTAGTTGCTGATTTTCCCAGATTTTCAATATATTTCCCGGGCCTTCTGACAGCTCATTGAATCTCCCAATTTATAGCCTTTGCTAAGAAAAATTTTTCACTTCAATAAATTAAATAAATGAACTGGTGAAATTAAATTATGCATATGCCGAATAGAATTTTCTTATTAAATTTCATTTGATTTGAATTGTCTTAATCTATTGAATCCCTTTTAAAAGTAGATAAAATGTCTTTTTAGTTTTCAATGGTGTCAGTATTGTAAATCAGAAAACAGTCTATATTTTCTATATACTGCAGAATTTTTATCTCCATATTATAACTAATTGAATGTTTTAGTACTTTTCATTATGAGTTTGTGGAAGCTAGCTTTATTTATTTAGCATCCAAATGAAGAACTAGAGCCAGCTATAGTGTGCCATAAAAAATTTAATAATATTTGCAAAGTACTCTACTACTTTGATTGCTACAATCCAGATAAAAGGGCCTTTATTAGACTGAGTTTCTTAAACTGTGGGTTGCCAAAAATTTTAGTAGTTTTGATATTTCTTTAACTTATAATAATTTTACAATTATCAAATATTTTTACACAGTGTATCTGAAAACAGATGAAGATAAAAAAAAATACAGACAAAGAAAAAAACGAAAACTTTTTGACGCATTCTTTTTATAAAATAAAAGTTGATTTTCCTTGCTTTGCACGTAATGCTCTCATTTCATCTGTGGCATGGCTATAACAAAGTGTATTTGAATTTTTCTCTATAAATTAAGCATTGAAATTTTGATTGAAAATTTGTCTGTCCTTTCAGTATGTTTTGAAATATCTTTTCTTCTATGAATTTAAAATATTGCAGAAGTTTAAAGTCAAGCAGGAGTGTCCAAACTTCAGGTCAGTAAAAGCCACTTGTTGGAATTCTTTAAAAGTTGATAGCAACAACTAGATTTTCCGAAAGTCACAAGTCTATATTTACGTTATTTTCAAAGTAGTAAAACCTGTTCCAAATGGAAAGTACCTTCTAATTCTAAATGACATTCAATAGCAGTTTGCCTTCAGCATGTGATGTTTCAAGTTTTGTGGTATCTTTGTTTTCTCTAATTATATCTTGATGTGGTAAAAATACCCTTTTTCAGTTTTTAAATACCTCTCTTCTTCCACAATACTTTCTTATAAATGTTGATCTATCAAAGCTTTGTAATGCTCTTGAAACTGGATTCTTAAATCATTGCCACAGCGATTCAAGTCATTTTTCTGCTGCCTCAAAATTATCCCATGCACAGCATATATACATCTGCATGCATGGCAAGCAAGCTGTTTATAAGTTTTCCTCATATTTTACAGATTCTGAAAAATTTCATCATCTAAGACGTAATTGTCATCAGATTTATTAGAAATTCCAAAAGCTTCCAGTTGTCATAAATTTCTCATATCTTGAAATGTTGAATCAACTTCCAAATTATTTTTAACTTGTATCAAAATCTCGATGATATTAAATGTTACTGATATTTTACATGTGTTTTCTGTTCCGCTCATAAACCATCCCAGTTTAGTTTCTACTACTGATGATCCAGGAGTTCAGCAGCCCTTTGCTGTAATAATTATTCTATACATATCTGGCTCAAGAAGTAATGAAATTCATCTGCAATTATTGTGCGAATAAATACTACATGGAAAGAAGTCCAATGTACTACTACAATGAAATGTATCTCCTAATTGAAATTCTTTATTTCTACATAGATTTGCAGTTATTTTGTTGTGTATTGATACTGTGGTGTAACTATTTATTTCTGTTTCTAAGGCTTGTATATTTTTTTATTCTCATTTTCAGAAATTCTTCTTTTGATGAAATTTATCAAAGGTCCAAGGTTGAGTAATATATGTATTTCAGAAATGGATTGTTTACCCTTGTTTTTAATATTTGCTCGAACTGTCTGTAAGAGCAAGCCTTTCCTGAAGATTTGATTGACAGAATTCATAACAATTTTCAATATCTGTTTATCATCCATCAATGTTATATGGCTCTTAGTCCGACATGGAAGGTTTTGGTATCACAATTCAGGCTGGATTGTTTATGTTTGCATGTTAAGCATTGCTCTTTTGATTTATTTACCTGACCGAAAGTGGGAAGTGAATTTGTTGAAAAAAATGGGAAACCATTTTTTTTCAACAAATGTTTTTTTCAAATAATATTGTCACAGTTCAAGGCCTGTAATTTTAAGTGGCGTTATGAATCGCATAACTATCCTTTCAGCCAACAAGTTCCTGCTGGTTGCGAGCTAAGATGAAATAAAATATTTTCTTTAAAAGCACAATTAAATAACCAGGCCATGGTTATGTTAATTTTTATTAAAGAAGCAGATCTAACAACCAACTATGGGTATGTTAAGGCGTTTAATACTTATTGCTCGATCAAAGCACCCTTACACTGAAGGAGATTTCACAAGAAGAAATCTTGCGGAAGTAATTTCTGCTTTAGACCCAGGGGGAAGGATTGCTGAAATTAATTGAACAAATAGGTGCATCTAAATGTACTATGGAAAGGCGAATTTGTGTTATTTCCGATGACATCATTTATAACTTGGAAAAGGATTTAACAAGCTGCTTAACTGAATCTGGACTTTGACAAATCTAAAGGCATTGAACATAAATCATAGCTAGTTGTATTTGCTCATTATGTAGCGAATAAGCTAGGACAGAAGGGGGAACTATTGGACTAGTGTTACATTAAAAGGATACAATTCTCGGTGTAGTTATAAAAAAACAGCCTTGACGCTGTACTTGGAAAACATTATATACTCATGAAAAGTTAGTCAATCTTGCAACCTACAGCAATCCAGCTTGAGAGGTCTTATTTTAAGGGCTTTAGGCAATTTTAAATACCAGTGCATTGTATACCCTAATTTTATCCCTGTCCATTGCATTGTTCATAAGGAACACCTAGTAGCTAAATATCTAAAATCTGATCATATTGGGATGTTAATTTTAAAAAACATTAGCTACGTATGCTGAAACACCAAAACTCGTCAACAGTTCAAAAAAGTCTGTGTACAGAAAAAGTAATACCTGGTTGTAACAAAAGTTTTCCGCCAAAAAATGTTCTTAAATAAAGTTAGGGAAAAAAAAAAAAAAAAACATGAAAATAGTACCTATAGTGCAGGTAGTAATCACTCCCCAAATCTATGATTTTCTGCCAACGTTTTGGTAGATTTCTAAGCCTTCAGCCCATATGCTTGATGGCTGCGAGTCCAAAAACAGATCAACCTCATTTCGGATGTCCTCTGCTGAATGAAGGATAGCACCAGTAAGGTAGCTGCAGGTGTGAAATGTCATATTAAAGAAGCATATGTAGCTGCAGATGTGGAAAAAAGGAAAAGTCCGAAGGAGCAATGTCGGGCTATATGTTGGTTGTGGCAAAAGATCCCATTCGAGTCCATACAGAGAATGCAGACACATGTGATCTTGCATTATCTTGATGGAATGTCACCTTTTCGCGTCAAAACTCAGTTCGAAGTTTTTCCTTGATAGCAGTATCAGCATGGACTAGCATTTCACTGTACACCTTACGGATGAGGGTTTTACCTTTTCCCAAATACTCTCGTGCTAATGCGGCACCTGATTGAACTTGTATGTCAAGTTTATGCGATGCATAAGGCATCTAATGGACATGGTATAACATCTAATGCCTTAGCAAGCTCTCAAATGGTTGCATACTGATCTTCTTCCACAAGTTCTCGCAGGTGGACCTCATCAACATCGGTAGGCCGGCCAATGCTCTGTACTTCTTGAATGTTATAATCCTTGTTTTTGAATTTTCGGTATTCACATTGTCATATAATACAACATTAGTACCTAAAGCTGTACACATAATTTGGTGATATTCTCTTGCTGACTTTTTGCAATAGAACTGGAAGTAAATGATGGTTATAATCTGGTAGTGTGATAGTTCCCTTTCAGACACCTTGTACATAACGATAACAATATTTTTTTACAAATTTCACGACGCAGTATTCTAAAGCCTCTTTTTTTCAACTGCTAAAAATCGTTTGACAAAATATGATTAAACCCGTTAACGTGAAATGTTTGCGCAGACGGTATTTGTGGTGCGGGAAACTTTCGTTACAACCCAGTATAAGATGATGAACTTCCAGATGATTTTTGTGGTTTTGTTTAGTAAGGTGGCTTTCACTAAGCAGTGGGCTAACAAAATTCTTTTATTTGCTAGAAACATTCAAACAATTTATCATCGGAAAAGGGTTTATCTTTCCTAGAAAGTGAAGATGCCAACTGGTTAATAGATTGGGCATTTTTCGCAGGTATAGTGTTTTTAAAATCTTTACTTACATCTCATGTTCTCATGTCTTACTAAAGTGTTGGAAACTTTACCTGGGTGTGACATTATAGTTACAGATTATGCATGCAAGCTGCACACACTGGCTGAAAACGTTACTGATAAATTGAGTGATGTAAGAGTACTGAAGTCTCATTTACAGTTTTAGGAAACCTTTTTCCTATTGACAATTTGAAGAATTTCCTTCCTGTCTTACTGCTAATTGCGGGGGTTATTATGGCTGTAAAGCTACTGGAGCATCAAGAATTAAAGCAAGTAAAACAAAACAATAGCTCAGCTATTGAGCTTTGGAAACAGGTTCTGGAACAAAAATATTGTAAAACCGAAGAGTGTGTGCTCAGAACAATCTCACTTTTTGATATTTTGTATTGCTGTGAGTCTTTCTATTCAATACATAGATTTATTAAACATAAGACATGTCTGTGTTACAACAACTAATCAATATTTAACTGAGCTTGTGCAAATTGCCATTAACAAAGCATCAACTTAACTTTTGGTAGCTAATTGCTAAAATGGCCACCATTCTAAATCTACCACATGCAAATCTATCTTTTAAAGCTTTTCTTATGAAATTGTTTGATAGAATTATTGCAATTTTTTTAAGTATTTCTGAATGATATTAAATATCTTAACTATCAATAAATGAAATAATTACTTTTTGTACATTGATCAGTTACTAATAACTTTCTAAAAAAATTAAATAAATTTCTTACTTTCTTTTGGACATTGTAATTTTAGTTTAAGATATTTCATAAATATACAAAGGTCACTCTGAAATTTTTTAGATACGTGTAGACGATAAGTGGCAGAGAAAAATTAATGGTTAGATTTGAAAATATGAACTATTTTAGCCTAGCAGATGATTTTTTATTGGCCATTTGCAAGTAGTTTAGTGTGGAATATATTTTAAAAAGAAGGAAAAATGGAGTTGATGTGAGAACATGATCGCAGTATGATTTTAAAGTAGGATTAAATCGAGAATAATGCGTTCAACGTTTACAATTAGCATTTTGAAATGAAAGGCCATCTCATGCTGCTGTATTCAGATGGTTTACAGAATTTCACAGTGGTCACAACACTTTTCTTGATGAAGAACACACAGGAAGGTCATTGCTCCCGGATAATGGCCCCCTGGAAAATGATAATCGCTGCACCTACCAAATGATGCAGAAGGAATGTAACATTGGATCTGCCACCAAACATAAAATTATTCACGAGGAATTGCATATGAAAAAAATAGTTTGCCATTGGCTTCCCCATAATTTAACTGAGCACCAAAAAGAGGAGCGTGTCAGAATCAGTAAAGAACCCCTTAAATTACTTAAAGATGGTGGCCACTGCATTATTCCTAAAATCAGAATTGAAGATGAAATGTACATCCATGTTTTGACATTCAAACATGTCAAAAAAGTAAAGTATGTGTCTTCAGAGATGATCCAATGCTCACAATGGTGAAATGAAGCATCTTATCTTTGGGAAATTCACTTCTAGAAGTATGTGCACTGATGCTGGACAAGAGTACTTTGAACTCGTAAAATTTCATAACTTAAAAAAACTATGTGTACCTCAAAAATTTCAGAGTGACCATCATATTTTAACTACATAAGAGCTGGTGCATAAAGTGGATGGAATACCACATCTTGGCCTATGAATTTATAGGTTTTGCTCTGTTGTACTACTGTTTTAGTGCAACCATCATGAAACATAAAGTTTCTGAAAAATTTGGTATATTTCAATGATGTGAACTTTACATTTAGTTGTCAGATAGTTGGACTTTTACTGTATATCAAGTTTAAAGTTTTTTGTCATAGTGCTTAATTTGGATCAAATTGATGAATAAAAGACAAAAGATCATGTGTTTCTCTTTTTATTTTTTATGTTTTTAGTGATCCTTAGTAAGAGTATACTCATATAATACAAATGTGAAATATTACTTATAGTTTGTAATTTTTCAAAAGTCCTCCATTCTTCAAATGTGGTAACTTTTTTTAACCTTTTTCCTGTAGTATGCAAATTGTTAAATTGACAATTGAAAGCATTTATTTGCAACCATCAAAAGCATGCTTTTTCAGCGTTGAAATTTGGAACATGCTTTTAAAAGAAAATTCCCTCTATATCATTCTCATATTGGTCAGTTAAGATGTGGAATTGCAGATGGGTTTATATATTTCTAAGATCAATTTTTAGTAATTATGAATTTTTTGAAGTAATAAAGTTTTGAATAGGGAGGGAAAAAATCTTATTAAAATCTTTGTATATTATTTTAAAGAATGAGGAATTAAGTACATTTTATTTTCTTAGTCTAGTAGGATAGAAGATCAACGGAGCAGTATGCCAGAAATTGATCCGGGTCCAATGTTTTCAATGGCAAATTGTAATGGCAGCAATGCTCATGCTGCTCCAACAATGCCAGATGAAGATTTTTTCAGTTTGATCATACGGGTGCAGGCCGGACGTATTGAAGATCAACGTTCAGAATTGCCTCCACTTGAAAGAATACCACCTCCACCTGAAAAAACAGCCCCTGTTGTTCCAAGCACTAGTCAGGGTAAGGCTTCAGGAAGCTCTTCAAAAACTAGCTCTTTAAGGTCTAGTTTAAAAGCTGTATCAGCTAAAGGGTCTTTTAAACGCTGATCCATAAAGTAGTACAATGTACATACTGGACCAAAATTTTTGTGCCAGTTTGAATTCTGTGCGTAAGATGTATTTTAAAGGCTGTTTGTGTTTTCTGTGGAAAAGTATGCTGAAAGTGCTAAATGTGTGTGAAATAATGGAATCTTGTGCTGGAGGGTTGTTTATTTTATGTGAAAAAGAATGCTGAGGGAAATGTTAAATGCACATGAAAGAGTGAAATCTTAAAGTGCGTAAAAATATTCAGAAGAGCATAACCAAAGAACTTTTGCATCTTCATACACATTTTAAATGTGAAAGGATTTTAAAGTCATTTTTTTTAACATAATAACCAAAGCTATTTTTTGTTGAGCTGGATAATTTTCCTGTATAGACTTTACAAATCTGATTATTAGAAGTGTTTTTTCATAATAACTTTCTAAGTACATTCCCTTTAAGCTTTCTTCTTTAAAACTTCTGAGACAGTATTCCTTATTGTCTTAAATCATATTTTATCTTCTTTTGATGCATTTATAGAACATGTAGCAGTGTTTACAATGTAGATATTGCTGAAAAAAGTATAAATTTAATGAGGAGTTAACTTATTTCTCTAGTAAGTGAAGAATATGGCTATATATTTCTGTTGTATCTATGCATCTTTGCTGTATGTGTGCTTTTTGTGGAATTGTCAGAAGTGGATCATTTTATATTCACTATATTCAACTAGTCTTATGAATTAATGCATTAATTTGTGTAGCAAGTATATCGAGAAATGTGTAATTTTTGTTCTTATATTTTTTATCATTTTGCAAATTTCAGTTATTTCCATATCTTTAGTGCAGTTTTTTAAAATTTATTTAATTCAGATTTGTATATTTCTGTTGTCTTGTGGAAGATGTGTCCATGTATATTTAAAAAAAGGTATATATTTTCTTATACAAATTTATCGTGCCATACATTTTACCTTGAAATGAATTTCTGATATTAACCATTTTATAAATTGAGATTCTGAATTGATGTATTGAGTAAAGCAGTTGTTTTATTGTAATAAAGTCGTACTTGTTTCTAATGAAATAATTTACATCTTCTATTTGTCATTCATGATTATATTCTATTATTCAATTTCCTTGAGATTTGATTAATTTTTTAATTTTAGGAATTTATTGCAAAGAGTTAAATGGTACTTTTAAATGTAAAATTAATGTTTGTTTTACTTATATAAAATTGCAAAGAGTTAATTCACTTGATCCAGAATTGAAAGACAAACATTCTTTTCATCTTCTTAATCAGATATGAACAAATACAGTGTAGTGTTCTTCCATTTTACTTTCTTGTAGAAACTGCATTTTTTGCCTCTGAAAACCTGTATAAAATAGAGATAAAGTTTTCCCCCCATTGTTTATTATTTCATAATTTTGCTGACATAATTTTAAAATAACAAAATAAGTAGTAAATAAATAAATTGTAATATTAGAATCAGCCACTTGCAAAGTCCATTAATCTTACATTAAACAAAATTCATAAATATAGTTAAGAATAATCGTTTTCCGATGAATATGCCTTCCCTGTTCATTTGCTATGTATTTGTGTAACAATTTACATTCCAAGCAGTTTTATTTTTTTGTATGATTTAGAACATTCTTTATTTAAATCTTGCTCTGAAGTGCATTGTCTGGGATACATTATTTTAATTACCATCAAATAATTATCTTGTGGAGAGTGTGCATGAGGACTTTCGTTTCTAGAAATGCTTTCATGGAGGACTTGCTAAAAGAAATTGAATCAAATCTTTATACACATAAGAAAGGGGTATTGTATCACTGTGTAGTATCTTCTACTAAGAGTAGACAGAAGGATGAGGATAAAGAATGGGGGACGTGGGCACTATCCCTTTACCATAATAGTTAATCAGTATAGCATCACGTCCACCATTATTTAAAAAAAAAAAAAACTTGAGATGATAACGGGGTCACATAGTTGAATGCTCCACGCTGTTCCTACACCTCAAGTGGCCACAGCAGTGTTTACATTTTGCAGATTGTTGTCTTTGCACAAGATTATAAGGTTCCGTATATTAGCAAAAGTTAAGAGTTCAGTAGTCAATATTATAATATAATACTCATGATTCTGGTAATAGTTCCAAGAGTAGACAGAAGTATTGCAATAAAATAAATACTTTTTTATCTGGCCTTTTTTTTTTTTTTTTTTTTTTTTTAAATGGTGGACACTAGCCATTTTAGGCTTTGGCCACTATTAAGGGCAGAAGTGTGACCATTTTATTATTTTATTATGGAGGCACCTTACAAGTGGCCACTGTTACCTCCTTTGAAAGGACAGACAATTTACATATATGCCTTTTCTGGGATTTGAACTTGGGACATTTGATCTGGCACTCAGAGTCACTAACCACTTTCCCGTTTGGGCAGCATCTGTCCTAAAACTTGTCATGTAAAACCTGTTATTTAATGCATAATGAATACAGAATATGATTAAACTTGTAAATTTTATGGTTTTTTTTTTTTTTTTTTTTTTTTTTTTAAAGGAGATCATTGATTTATGTTAGCATAGTGATTGATGTTAATATTGACTTACATTAACATAGTCTTGTTATTGTGGTATTGAAGTAGCTACTAGTTTGAGTTTTGAATTTCAGCTAAACTTTAGTTTAATTCTAATCAAAAATTGAATTGGATATATTAACTTCTCGTTTTGCATACTAAGCTTAACATTCAGTTTGATCGTATATTGGCTAAGCATTTTTCTAATATTTCAAGTAGTTCCTAGTGTGAATCTCTGTCATTTGCTTTGTGCAAAGTGATATTTTGACTTAAAGCAGTTTTTGCTATTTATATTACATAGTATTATTTGAAAATTTCAAATTTTTGTGATGTTTGTTTGTTAAATAGTGGTTATGATGGTACTTAAATATATCTTTTATGTGTAGTTTTAAATCTGAAATATATTTTACTATTAAGTGTTAAATAGTTTGAAAATTTAAAAAGCTCATTAAAAATTCACAATATATGAATGAATTAAGTGAGTTATACAGTAATCTTAAATATGCAGAATGTGGTTAATTCTGATAGTTGCCATTATACATTGTTACTCGTATTTACAGGTCTTAGACTATTTTGCTTCTCGAATAACTCCCCATTTTTTCCAGTGTTTACTTATTTTTGTATTTTATATTTGAAATGTGGTTTCAATTTTTTGGTCCACAATATTTTATCATTTCATTTTTGCATCACTGTAATGTGTTAATAATAAAAAATAAAAAATAAAAAAAAAAAATTCAGCATTAACTTTGTGTTGAAAGATATTGTTGAACTGAATTATTGAATATACTAAATTTGGGGAAATTACTATTAAGTAAATTTTTATTATGTAATCTGGGAAGAGGGAGGCAAAAATATGTGGAATTATCAAGAAAACACCAAATAAATTTCCTTTCAGCAATTCAAAATAATTAACCCAAGGGAGGTCACGGATAAAACTGTATCGTAGATTTCCCTTTTTATTCATGCCAAATTAATAAACTCTTAACAGTAGAAAATTATGGTCATTTGTAATCTGACCAGGCATTTTGAATAAATCTGTGTATGAGGATATGATGCCTCACTTAACAGTTGGTGCTTGTATTATTCAAGAATTATTTTAAGGAGGGTGCTTTAGGATATATAAATTAAATATTTAAAATGATAGCAAAATCAAAGTTACTTCCTTCATTTTAGTTTCATAAAGTGCTGACCAATATAATGACATAGAAATAATTCATACAATGGGAGGCTTAAGCTGTTGTTTTCTACCTTCTGTTACACAATGTGAACTTGTTTGAATGAGCAAAAAAATTCTTTATCATTCTTTTTAATACTATGAAAGTTTTTGCATGTAGTATGACATTTTCTCAATTTTATGACTTAGCTAATGTCATTTTCAGGGATTTGACTGCATATGTTTTATTTTTATTAAAGTGCTTATTGTAAAACTTTTTTTTTGGCTAGAAAGTAATAAATTTCTATTGTTATAGAAAGCAAGAGCATTATATTTAAAGCAATGACTTTTAGACTTGTTGTTCATGACAATGTGCTGCTTTCTCTTGTTGCTTGCAGTCTTTATAAAATTTTCAGTCTTCTTGAAGCTTATATTGTAGAAAATTTTAATAGTGAAAGCTTTTAAATTGTTGAAATTATATTATCTACACTTGAAAAAATATTAGTATTGAAAGTTATTACTGTTTTATGTTTGACAGAGCTGTCTTTATATAAAAAGTTAGTTACTTTTTATAAAATTTATGAAATCTTGAAAATCTCTGAAGTATTAGTAGTTAATGTATTAAGTCATAAGAAATGAGTATGCAGCAAAAATGTGCCAAAAAGTAAAATCGGTGTTTAATTGTGTAGATTGAAACTCGTTTTCATCAATTTATTATTTGGAGATTTTTGGAAAGCCTAAAAGAAAAATGAAAAGGAGAGGTGGATTGCTTAAGTAGCTTCTTATGGACATGATTATTTTATTCACAATGTAATAAATAGACATGCTTAAAAATTAATATTATATTGTGCATAAATATGCTGCATTTATGACCTGATTCAGATATGCATTTAATTATGTGCAGCTGGATGTTTAGTAATTGTAGCTATTTTTGAATAATTAATGACATTTATCATGACAATGAAATTGTTTGTATTTTGTTTCATTACAAAGCAAGGCTCTCTGAATTTAATGATCTTAACTGCCAGTTATCAACACATCGCATTGGCATGTTGAGCATACTTTGTTAATTTATCCTGTATGAACAGTAACATTTTTGTGTCTAGTTTTTTTTTAATTTAAATTTAGTTGTAATAATTTTATATAGCTTTTATACACGAGGCAGATGTTTTATGAGTCTTGTTGACATCACAGAATTTTTATGTACTTAATTTTTTTAATGTTTAACTATAATCAAAACAAAGCATATGAGGGTTCTCTGCTAAATGAGTGATGCCTTCATAGAGGACTTTTTAAAGAAACTGTCACATATTCATGTTACATTTTGGGAAAACTATGAAAACACCCATTCAAATAGCCTATTCACTAGGATTTGAACTCAGATTGATTTACCTGTGTTAAGGAGTATTTACCATTTGGTTTGAATAATTGGCTTAATTTAATAAGAACTTTTAGTGAGAAAACTGCATATGAATTCTTGACCTATTTGTTTAATCCTTCACTCAGTGTAAGTATGTGATAAATATTTTCTGCATTTGACTAAATGGGGGGGGGATATCACGGATAAATGCACCGGTTGAAGAATTAACATGCAGCTTTGTATTATAACTTCATTTTCTGCTTAATAAAATTGGCAGTTGCATATCAATTTCTGAATGATGTATGTTGAAATATTTTTCATTATACCAAAAGATCACATTTATCAGTATTTCGTGTTTAATTTTCATTTGTCATTACAAAACTGATATATTTTTTTGTAAACAAAGTGCTGTCATGATTAATTTGAAAGTAAATTGTTTGTATATAATGTTCTAGTTTCGTATATAGAGAAAGTGTATATATAATGTTCTAGTTTCGTATAGTACAAGTTGCATTCTTAAAATTGTGTACACATAATTTTATTTTTTATTGGAATTAGCTTGACTGTGATGTGGTTCTTTGTCAAAATGAATATGCAAGCATTCCTTCTGTATATATATTCTTTCAACTTATGAAACAAGAGGTTTTTGATAATAAAGAAACTGATCTTATTTTTTTATTCATTATCAAGGTAAAGGTTTTAAAATTGCTGTGCTCCTACCTTTTTTTTTATGTAATTATGCTCACTGGCTCAATGAAGAATTACAAATGTTTATTTCTTGTAGTCTGTGTATAATAAAGCAGAATGAATTGGTTTTTACTATGTAGAAATTTTAATGTTCCTGCAAAGCAAATGTAACCAACTGTTAAGAGGTTTAGCCAAAATGAAGAGGATATTGAATTGTTAAAACTAAATATTTTGCTGAAATGACTGATATCAAATTGCTTTCTTTAATCATTGACAAAAAAACAGTTATTTTCTACCTTTTTAAATTAAATATGTTAGATGACCAGTATAACTTAAGACATAGCTAGAGGCAGGAATGAAATAAATATCAAAATATAAAGGGGGGATACATTTTTTTAAGGGAAATGTTTACTATTTAGTGTTAGGAAGTCCCTCCCCCAATTTATAGTAACAAATTATTTTTAAAAACATTTGTGATACCTGTAATATCTGTCCCCTTTAGTTTACATAAATATTAAGGAGAGTTTTATATAAGGCAATTGAAAGGATGTCCTTTTGTACTCAAGCAGCAACTGTGATATAATATTTTAACTTGTTAATAATATCACATTCTAGCTAAATATTGCAGAAAGAGAAATAAAACTAAAGCTGATTTTTTTTTTTTTTTTTTTAAATTTGTGAAAGAAAACACAAATTAAACTTATACAACCAGAAAATACTGTGAAGCATCTCACTTATGATGGAAATTGTTAAACGAAATATTGTTAAATCTTGAGCTGCTTTAAAGACTCGGTGGGTTTCTTTTCAATTGAAAGGAAATATTCACATTAACGTGTTTCGCATTCTGTGCTCTAATTTGAAAAACAACTGAAATAATATAATGTATAAATATAAATTATATTAATATATATATATTTCAAAATGCATTGTTTATATAACTCCTTAATTAGTATTTTGAACCAGTTTTAAAAAGTAGTAATAAAACATGAGAGAAAAATTTTAAAAACCTCTAAGTAATGTTAATAAGTAGTTTCCAGTGAATCTACATAATTTGTGAATGTATTTTCCTGTACTTCATTATATGAAGAGGATTTTCCTGAACAGTGATATAATAGTGCAAGTGTTTGTATAGTGCTTGCACAAAATTTAGAAACATTCCAATTTTACTGAGATTGTCTGATTTTAAAAGTTGGTTGATTTAAATTTGTTCTCAAAATTAATGGTCATTTAATGGTGGAAGTGTTTCTGTAAGAGTCAAAAATAATTTTATTTTATGTTAGATTATTATTATTATTAGTTTTTAATTAAAAACTGAAATCTGTGAAATTTATCCTTTTTTCGAATTTTAAAAGTCTGAATACAATTTGTTTCCTTATAAACCTGTTTTAATTAAATTTGTGACTTTCTAAGTTTAATTTTTCAGGTTTTTGCTTGTGTACTAAGTTACTGAAAGCAATTAAGTTTTTTAATTAAAAAATAATTTCAATGAGGGAGAGAATAAAATTTGAAAATTTAGTTATTAATATACTTAGTAATTTAAATGTTTCTGTTATATTTGGCATTAAAGTTTTAACACTAATATCCTCTTTCGTCTTTATTTTACAATCACTTTTAATATACTTGCTCTTTAAAAAAAGAAAAAAAAAAATACATTTTTTATACTCATTTCAACTTTTATCATTTCTGCTTAAAAAATTGGTGTTTGCATATATATTGGTTAAGGAAGTAATTTTGAGTATGAAATGTGTATCCTTGAAATTGAAGTGTTTTATACTGCTTTGTCAAAAAAGTGTTGAATGTTTCTTTAATATTTTATGGGACCATCTGCTACACATTTGCTAATTCATGTCATAGATGAAGTGATGTAATATTCCCATTTGTATTCAAGTCCATTTTCTGCACTTTCAGTTATGTGGCTCAAATGTACATTTCAGAGCAGTAGGTCCCATCCATGCTTATGATTGATAGTTTAGGAATTTAATTCATTGAAAGATATTTAATGCTTTTATGATGGTCCTCAAACTATGTATATTTGAGCTTGATGGGCCCTAATACTGTCATGTTGGAAGTATTCATCACTGCCAGCGAAGTGCATCAAATATAGTATAGTGCACATGATTTCCAGGGACAACCACTATGCCACAAATGCCATGTAATTATAACAAAAAATATGCTAATCTATCCATCCATGTATATCCCAAACCCTCCAGACCTTGCACTGTAGTGATGGTACAAAGAAGGTCAACGACGGTCTTTCTTCAAATAATTTCACCACCAATCACCCTACTTTTTCCTTGCCATGCGATTTTCTGTCATTGAACTACTGCCGATACTATCTTCTTCACTATAGTCAGTTTTCTTGTGTTTGTAGGTCAGCAATGGAATGCAAGTTGGTCATTGACTTCTAATTTCGATTTGATGCAAGTCACTGTGATGACTTTTGTGTGACTATATGAATAGTTTCTTATTAACATTGAATTCAACTAAGTTTTTATATAGAGACTTAGCTTTTCTCTGAATAAGTCAAGCCAAAGGTCTTGTAACCCTTATCTTGCAATATTATTTTGAAACCTGATTAGGATATTCTTATTGCTCATATTCCGAGTCCTTTTCCATTGTAAATGTATCATAAATATAGTGTTATTATATTGATCTTTGCCACAGAACATCAGACTGTTGTGGCTGGGGTGTTTAATGAAGTCCCAATTTTTCAAGGTTTACAAGTGCAACTTCACTTAAAGTCACAAATGTTATTACATGTAGCCATATTAAATTGCTATTGCACTCTATACTCTTAGTATTGGTAGTCCAGTTGGACTGAAATACCATTACAAATTCTTGTCTGGCAGAGTTAAATCTGTTTCGAGGGGTAGGACATTCTAATTTAAAAGCTTCATACTTTTTTGACAGGACAGTGTGAATGTTTTTTCTTATATGTAATTCTTTCTATCGCAAAAATTCCACGGAAGGAAATTAAACCTTGTTCAGTTGATTATACCTATATTGTCTTGGAATAAGGATGCTAAATTTTTCTGTGTGTGCACATAGATGTGTGTGCATCATTTAACTGCTTATTATTCATTTTAATTGCAGCTTTTAGTCATTTGTTTTCCACTTTAAAAATATTCATTCTTTTTTTTAGCACAATTTTATTGGATAGTTTTTTAATAAAAATTGCTGTGTATAATTTATTGTACTCTTCATTTTAATGTACATGTGTTGCAACAATAATAAATCTTTGGTTTGTACATGCAAGTTTATTTTTTATATATTTAAAAACCACCACATATTATAAATTATATTTGTTCTAGTACCTATTATTTACTCTGTAGAATTATATTGAAAGATAAAATTTTCATTTCATTTCTGAATTGAAACACGTCCTATGAACTTGCTCTGATGTGATGGTCAAAGAAGTGAATCAAGTCTGATAACAATAACAAATTATATATATATATATATATATATATATATTACATTTGGCCTTTCATGTATTTGTACTGTTATTTACGATCGTTTTGCTATTTAAATTTTGATTTAATCAACAGACAATGATAAGCTTTCTAGCAAAAAGCTTAGTGGACCTGTAAGTTTGATACCAGTAAGATGGAAGTGTATTTGATGTAAGCTCTTTATTATAGAGATTTGATTGTTAATAAATTTTAAGTTTATTTTAGCTAAAATTTAGTTCTGATTTTAAAATTAATAGCATTTAAAGAATTTTGAAATATAATTTTAATTTATATTATTCAAAATAAATTTCCAATTCCTTATAAAATGACAATTAAAGTCGAAAACGTATGGTAGGGAATATGCTTTACTAATATCTTGAAGCTTTTAAAATAAGCGGGCATATCATCCATAAACAAATTGTGTGCCCATGGCACCCGAAACAAATGTACATGTTGTTCCAGAATGACGTCCCGATAGATATGGCTTGTCATGATTCCAATTTGAACATGAAGGTCAGTTCTGGAACCCAGAATAATTCCACCCCAAACGAGCACTCCTACACCACTGTAACGGTGTCGTTCAATGATGCGAGAATCAGACTGCAAGCTAAACCTGGACTCGTCGGAAAACATCACACAAGCCCACTGTTGCGGTGTCCACAGTGCATGCTCTCTACTCCAGGCTAACCGCAGGCGACAGTGAGTTGCAGTAAGTGGAACGCATCTGACAGGTCTACGAACATATAAACCAATCTGCCCTAAGCGTCTGTACACGGTCTGCCTTGAAATTGTCGTACCAGTGGCTGAAGAGAGCTGACGAGGCAGGTCTCCAGGCTCCTGCCAAATACCGGTCCTTATTCGGCGCTGTAACTCTGGGGCGACCTGTGCTGTAACGTCTACTCACATTACCATCATCTTGGAATCGTTGCCAAGCCTGGAGATGACACTTGGCATTCCAAGTCTGAACTCTAGTTGGGTACGCCCCATCGACGGCCGATAATTCTACCACGTAAAAAATCATCCAATGCGTCCCATTATTCGGTTATTGCACTGAAATGCTTATAAGCGCCTGCGAACAATTTTACTTCTTTGCCTCTATTCCTTATATCACTCTCTTACACTCTTGTCATTGTGACGTACCATCGGTGTCATCTGGTTACTTCCTGAAATTTGCATATGATTCTTGAAGATGTGTGTAGTGATTTTACAGGTGATATATTTATTTTAGAGTTTGATTTCTGTGTGACTCCGAATTATCCTTAACTTATGGACATGAGTGTACTTGTTAGTATTGGAGATTTTTAATTCATGCTTCTAAAATTGACATTAAACTTATTATACATTTTAATTGCATTCACATATATTATATCAGTTAGCACATTGAATGACTGAGCTATGACGTTCCTACAGATTTTATTATGGGCTATATTTAACATTCATATAGATTACATTGGTGAGCACACTATATTTTGATATGTACACTGTGCAAAAAAAGGGGAGGCAGTTCTATATCTCCCGTTCTATTGAGCCAATTGACAAAATTCAAATTGCGTTTTTCATATCTTGAAAGCGCGACTTAGGATATATATTAAATTTATATATAGCGCTGTTCTAACATAGGTATTTTGGTACCAGATCTTTTTTTTTTCATATTTTGATTTTACGACTCAAATTATGCCTCGATACTAAATTTTGTAAAATTTAGCGCAAAATTTCCGGAGAAATTCAAAAATATATCTTGGTGCAGTTTCTTCAGTTTACACCAAAAGTAATGCACTTGGCAAACTTCTTAATAAATGGCAACCTATTTTCCTTTCCCTTCCATTATACCAGAGCAGAAAAAAGGCACCTCATTCCTACCTTTTTACATTGTGCATTAGCGGAGAAAAAGTCACATCGTTCCTACTTTCAAATAATTTTAACAAAGTGTCTAAAACACATTTGATGCTTTATCGCTTTCAACAACATGTTAGATGCGAAACTTCAAAACGCGCCAATATATAAATTCATACTTTGAAAATTTTGATTAAAAAAACTAATTTTTTGCAGGTATGCTTAAATGCTTTCAGATGATGGTAAAAATTTTGCAGATTAGAATTCTGATTTTTTTTTGAAAAATTGTAAAAATTATTTTTAAATAAATCATAAAAAATGGGTTAATTGAATGATGAATTTATTTGGAATGAACCTGTATTTCAAAATGTAAAAAAGAAAGAATCAAATAAATTTAATTAAAAAAAAGAGAGATTAATA